AAGATAGAGTCTCGCTCTGTTGCCTAGGCTGGAGTGCAGTGGCATAATATTGGTTAACTGCAACCTCTGCCTCCTGGGTTGAAGCAATTCTCCTGCCTCAGCCTCCTGAGTAGCTGGGATTACAGGTGCCCGCCACCACACCTAGCTCATTTTTGTATTTTCAGTAGAGATGAGGTTTCACCATGTTGCCCAGGCTGGTCTTGAACTCCTGGCCTCAAGTGATCCTCCTGCCTTGGCCTCCCAAAGTGCCAGTATTATAGGCATAAGCCAATGTGTCTAGCTGTTGCTTTGTTTAATTTTAATGTCCTGGCCGGGCACAGTGGCTCATGCCTGTAATCCCAGCACTTTGCGAGGCCAAGGTGGGTGGATTGCTTGAGGTCAGGAGTTCGAGACAAACCTAGCCAACATGGTGAAACCCTGTCTCTACTAAAAATACAAAAACTTAGCTGGGTGTGGTGGCCCACGCCTGTAGTCCTAGCTACTCAGGAGGCTGAAGCAGAGAATCGCTTGAACCCAGGAGGCAGAGGTTGCAGTGAGCTGAGATCATGCCACTGCACTCCAGGCTGGGTGACAGAGTGAGACTCCATTAAAAAAAAAAATTAATGTCCTTACTTGACAAAGTAAAACCCTGACAACGCCAAGACAGTTCCCAAAGTTCTTCTGGACATTTCGCTCATCTATGAAATCAGAAAGTCTGGGAACTATTGGATTAGATAATTTCTTCAGTTGTCACTGACTCTCAGATTTTATGGAAGTCCAAAGAGACTTAACAAGTTATCTCTGAATTTACTGAAGAGTAAAGAAATAAATGAGCTGCTTCAATTATTACAAATACAACAATGACTTGGAATAAATAAACACTAAATAACTATATTGCATGGTTTAACAACAAACAGTTGTCAGGGGTAAAAGATACAAGGCAAACCTCATAAGTAATAGGAGTTAATTTATTCAAGTAAAATGGCTGCAAAGTTGGAATATCATTAATGGATTAGTAGGAAGTTGCAATGGACTGAATTTTGTGTTGTCCCCAAATTCATGTTGAAGGTAACTCCCAGGCCAGGTGCAGTGGCTCACACCTGTAATCCCAACACTTTGGGAGGCCGAGGTGGGAGGATCACTTGAGGCCAGGAGAAACAGCCCGGGCAACATAGCAAGACCCTATCCCTATTTACCATAAAAATAATAAGAACTTAACCTTCAATGTGATGGTATTTGGAGATGGAGCCTTTGGGAGGTGGGTTAGATCATGAGAATGGAGCCCTCATGAATAGGATTAGTGCCTATAAAAGAGGCCTGAGACGCTGGGTGTAGTGGCTCCACTTCTGTAATCCCAGCACTTTGGGAGGCTGAGGTGGGAGGATTGCTTGAGGCCAGGAGTTCAACACCAGCCTGGGCTATGTAGCAAAACTCTATCTCTACAATAAATAAATAAAATTGACTGAGCATGGTGATGCACACCTATAATCCCAGCTACTTGGGAGGATGAGGGAGGAGAATCACTTGAGCCCAGGAGTTTGAAGCTGCGGTGAGCTATGATCATGCCACTGCGCTCCAGCGTGGAAGATAGTGATATCTCATCTTTAAAAAGAAAAAGAAAAAAAAGTCACTGAGAGCTCCCTTCCCCTTTCTGCCATGTTTGGACACAGTGAGAAGACAACCATGTCTGAACCAGGAAGCTGGCCCTCACCAGACACCAAGTCTACTGGTGCCTTGATCTTGGACTTCCCAGTCTCCAGAAATAAATTTCAGTTGTTCATAAATTACATCTATGGTATTTTATTATAGCTGCCCAAACAAACTAAGACAGAACTTAAAAAAGGAATTACACTTCTTATTTTGTATGTGTTTTCAGAAATAAAACATGACCTAGAGTCTTACATCCTGTGGAAATCCACGCTAAGGAGATACAGAATCCTCTCTTGATTTTATCAGCTGTTATGCAACTGCAGTTTATTTTGAAACAAACTGGCCCAACAGAGCACTCAGGCACATAAGCTGAAAGTAACAACTCATGGTTCGAGAGTTTTCTTTAATTCATGGAGAGTTCATGTTTAATTCATGGTTATTCAAGCCCAAGGTAACTGCATTCTCACTGCTTGTTGAAAGAACAGCCTTGGGAGATTTTTTTCCAAGGACATTGCTTTGGAAAGAAAATAGGATGCTTTTTCTTGATTCTTAAGAACTGCACATGCTGACAACGGGTGGACATGGTCAGCGGGTCGCTACTTCTCACCATTCTTCATTTTTGTTATTCAGTCTCCTGACAGCACCCCAAATCCTGTTTACTGACTGCAGCGGTCAGATCTGAAGCATCCTCACCCGCAGCAAAATGAGGCAGTCTGTCAATGTGGTGACGGACCATCGCCATCTGGTGGCGATGGAGTGACTGCGACACTTAGTGGGCGGGGAAGGAGGGTAGAAGCGAGAGAAGAGTTACTAAGAATGTACCAGGCATGATGCTAGATGCTTCACAAGATCATTGCACTTTTATCCTCACACACACAAATGTGAGGATGCCGTCACTGCCTCTGTCTCAGAGAGGAGGAGATTATTGCTCCAAGGGCTTCATTAATACGTAGCTCGCCCAAGAACAGAGCTGGTGATACATCCAGCGTACAGTGGAGGCAGGTCTCTCCCATGCCAAAGCTTTCCTTCTCTCTTCGATGCCATTGTTCCCACCAGCTCTGGAGATTTGACATTCTAGAAATATGCTAAAAACGTAGAACAAGGATGCTGATTTTGAGATGGCAATAGGGTGGATGAGGAATGGATGAAATATAATAATTGGAAAGAAACACAGTTTTGAGTTCCCGCCATGTCCCAAATCCTATGCTGGGTGCTTTTTGTTTACCGCCTGCTAATCTTCAGGCAAAGGAGAGGAGTAGAGAAGCCCTAAGGAAGTAACCCTAAGGGGAAAGCACATGGGAAGCCCTGACGTACATGAGGTACAGCTGCATTTGGCTTAGTTCAGGAAGAGCTTACCAATGAAGCCCTTCAATGAAGATGATGAAGAAGGAAGTCAAATTCAGTGTTCTGGGGTCACAACTATCTCCTCAAATACCTGGGGAGGTGTGGGTGGATGTGTAGTGTACATGGATGGCTGCACAGTGGGTGAGCTCTGGCACTCTTACTGAAATTAAAATGTCAACGCTGAGAAAGGCCTTTGCAACAAGTCCAATCCCCTTGTCTTACTGACAAGAGGGCTGGGCCCAGCGAGTTGGCCAAGGGGTGTGGCTGAGGTCACATGGCTCCTGGGGGTCATGTAGCTCCCTGGTGAGTTTCTGAGTCAGAGGATCCAGGTGACCTGAGTGGGAGCTGGGGTGTGTGTAAAGATGACCTACTGATCTTGGCTAATGGCAGAGCTCAGGTTTCTTGGCCACTCTCGGGGCCATGCCGGGGCTCTGCCACCTTGGGGTGGGTGGGCCTCATTCTGGATCAGAGGATTGGGACTTTGACAGCTGATGATAATCATTTTGGGACACTAGTCACGCCTGTTCACCAATTACTCATTTAGCCGTATTTATAAGGACAGTGGACTAAAGAAGCAAATCCAAAGGCTCAGGGGTGAGCGATTGGCCAGGCAGAGAGAGTCTAACGAAAGGCACCAGGCTACTTGTTTGATATCTTAAGGTTTTGAAGAGCTATTAAATAAGCAAATTAGCAAAAATGTAGTCACTCTAAGTTTCTTCTTTCATCATTCAACAATATTCTGATCTACGCATTGTGTATTTGGAGTGGGCTGTTTTCTGTGTGGGGACTGCCATGGTCTCACAGTGAATGCCAGCCTGTGGCACAAGAGGGCCGTGAATTCTTTGGAACTGGATACAGGGAGTGAGGAAGGCTAATCTTGGCAATTTATGATTTTTCCCCCTTTTTTTTTGTTTTGAGATGGAGTCTCTCTCTGTTGCCCAGGCAGCAATTTATGAATTTTTAAAAGATTGATCATGAATATGTCAGTTGAATTATATGGAATGGTTGTCTACTTGTACTCAAGCATTGCCAATTTGTCACCTAGGGCATTACTTTTCAAAAAAGTGTATCTCGATTAAGATAAGTTCAAAATATGAAAACCAATTACACATCATCAACTTTCTCTGACTAGCAAACTTCTCTCACGCTTTAAAAATATGGTTTGGCATATTATTGGCATTTAACTCTTGGGGATCATTGCCTCTGTAATCCGTGGGGCACACATACTTGTGAACAAATAGATGAGACGTACTTACCTCTTTGTGGTCTCCATCTTGGAGGGGTCCGGCAGGCAGGAGAGAACCAGGGACTGGAAGCTTTTCCAGTGCATTATTCCAGGAATAATGTCCTATAAGGAAAGTCAGCACACGGATGCTACATGGGAAGCAACTGTTTGGTGAGGTAAAGTTTCGGAAGGACTTTTGTTTTACTCAACTCTTTTTCAGTCTTAAAAGGCTAAGCAGCAAAATCTGTAATTTCATTCAGTTTGGATTTTTCTGAAGCAAAAAGGCAATTGCTTCAGCAAAGCACATTAAACAATGCAACACAGAATTAGAGGCAAAGGAGAGGTTTGCTTCCCTTGCTTCATTAGGCACTTGTACAAGCAACATGTCCTCGGAATGGAGGGCAGCTGCGGCCTTAGAATCTGTTTTGTTTGTTGTGAATGTGATGCTAATGCAACACTCAGAGAGGATGGCAGTTCATCCAGCGGCACTCCAGGCGGGAGAGCTGCACATGCGCGCCACGTGGGAGGAGAGCGCTGCAAGGAGACCCCCGCTGGGCTGAGTGCAGGGTGCATGATAGAGACAGAAGGGAATCTGGCTGGAGAGCCAGGCAGGTCACAGGGGCACTGTGGGCCAAGCTAATGAGCTTGGAGCTGCTCCTGCAGGCAGTGGGGCCCACGGAAGGCTTTTGAGGAGGAACTGACAGGATCAACTCGTGCCTAAGGAAGATTTCTCCCAAGGGAAGGCGGACTGCAGCAGCAGTGGGCCACAGGCTAGACTAGAGGGAGGTCTGCAAATCTGTTTGCTGTGTCAGTGGCACACTGGTGGCCCCCCGGGTGGTGAGATGAGGGGAATGTGGGAGGAGGGAAAGAATCTCATAGGTAACTGTACAAAGTCCATAAAACAGAAAGGCAAGTAGGTGACACAGGAAGAGGAGGCAGTTGAGGGTGTGGCTGGTAGAAGTGGGGAGAGAGATCATAATCTGAGTTAAGGGTTGATTGAGTTTGAAGGGCCTGAGGATAGCCCTTAAGGGGTGTCGGGGGATATTCAGGTCAGGGTGGTTCCCTGTGGGGGAAGTGATTCCTTGGGGCCACTTTTTTGCATGTGTCACACACCACCTTGTCCATTCTGGTTTCTACACTTGGGGCCAAAGAGAGAGGAGGTCAGACCAAGGGTTTGCGCATACTGTATGGCCATTTTTACATGATTGAAATACAACACATGAACGTTAGGTACAGCCTTCCAAAGGAATGTTGACAAAGGGCAGGAAGCAGCCCGAGAGGCAGGTGTGGTCAGGACAAGGCGGTGCAGGGTCTCCACCTGTACCCCTTTAGGGTTGGCGGTATGGGGGCGGTGTTACCATTCTTGCTCTGCAGCTGTGGCGGCAAACCTTCTTTGTCTCAATTCCAGCTGTGACCCTGTCCTCGTCCCCTGCCCCTCCCTGCAGCCCAGGGCCACTCTGCCAGTGAGCCTGGTGACGACATTACCGTGTGATGGAGAAACTGCTTTTGGGTGACAGGAATGCTGGACCCGTGGTGGGACTCTTTGGTGATTTTGTACTTCGGGTGAGAGCATAGATGGTAATCTATCGACGTTTCTGCGTAGGTCAGAGGATGCATTACAGCAAATAATCCTGGGTTGGGATTCTGCCAAAGACAGGGAAAAAATATTCTTTTTTGTTTATCAGTTTCTTTATTTTTATTTTTTTATTTTTTATTTTATTTTTTTATTATCATTATACTTTAAGTTCTAGGATACATGTGCATAACGTGCAGGTTTGTTACATATGTATACTTGTGCCATGCTGGTGTGCTGCACCCATCAACTCGTCCTTTACATCAGGTATAACTCCCAGTGCAATCCCTCCCCCCACCCCCCTCCCCATGATAGGCCTCAGTGTGTGATGTTCCCCTTCCCGAGTCCAAGTGATCTCATTGTTCAGTTCCCGCCTATGAGTGAGAACATGTGGTGTTTGGTTTTCTGTTCTCGCGATAGTTTGCTGAGAATGATGGTTTCCAGCTGCATCCATGTCCCTACAAAGGACACAAACTCATCCTTTTTTATGGCTGCATAGTATTCCATGGTGTATATGTGCCACATTTTCTTAATCCAGTCTGTCACTGATGGACATTTGGGTTGATTCCAAGTCTTTGTTATTGTGAATAGTGCCACAATGAACATACGTGTGCATGTGTCTTTATAGCAGCATGATTTATAATCCTTTGGGTATATACCCAGTAATGGGATGGCTGGGTCATATGGTACTTCTAGTTCTAGATCCTTGAGGAATCGCCATACTGTTTTCCATAATGGTTGAACTAGTTTACAATCCCACCAACAGTGTAAAAGTGTTCCTATTTCTCCACATCCTCTCCAGCACCTGTTGTTTCCTGACTTTTTAATGATCGCCATTCTAACTGGTGTGAGATGGTATCTCATTGTGGTTTTGATTTGCATTTCTCTGATGGCCAGTGATGATGAGCATTAAGCCAGGGATAGGACAGGCATCAGCTAATGCTGTCTGTGGCTCCCACTAGCACTAGCACTCTGTGACTCCACGTCAGCTTCTCTGGAAAAGAAGCAGGAGAGCAGAGGTGTCTTCAAGCCGGCAGCGTTTAAAAAATCATAGTCATTCATAAATGTCACTTTTATGGCTTAAGAGCTTCATTACATACCATATGGGTTTACTAAACTCACATGAAATCACAGCTTAAAACAGCTTTGAATATTTGTTTCTAATGCTGATGAATTAAGGAGTTATTAAATGAGCAAACTGGTTTAAAAAAGCAAATAAGCTCTGGTTTTGAAAACAAAAATAGGCTTTTAAAAGCTACTTTGAAGAGATGACAAAAAAGAGGATGACATTTGATGTATCAGGAAATGTCAACATTTAACATTGTTTTGGTAATGTGTTTAATTCAGGAAGGCTCCATTTGGAAGTAGTATCTGGTTTTAAGGGAGATCCTGTTTTTTATTAATTTTCCAGCAGAACTAATGGAGGCACAGAGCAATTATATCAAAATACTAAAATACAGAGCCTTTTACTGTTCTCTCAGAGGCTCGTACAACAAGAACCCTATTCTTGTCCCAAACAGCAACATAGCACCCCCGCCAGCTGTTTAATTTCAGATGTTTGATGTTTAAGAACCACTACACTGAGATTCTGTTGTTTGTCTGACTTTTTAAAACAAGTTAAAAAACCCCACAAAACCACTTAGCCTATGGAAACTCAGTCTCACTGCCAAGAAACAAATGTCCCCCCAAACTTAAATGACATGCAGCTAGACCTGAACGCATTCCAGCATCCAGAGGCAAGGTTGGGGAGGGCCCAGCGGTGGTGAGTCAAGAAGGCTGGAAAGGTGGTAAGCGTTAGTGCAGAGGCTGCCCAGCCACTTGAGGGCCAGGATGAGGGCCTGGGGCAAAGGTAGGGAGAGGGCTCTGGACTGAACTCCTGCATATAAAGGAGTGGGGAGGGCAGGGAGGCAATGATGACCACTGAGGGGGTCGGAGATGCCCACAGTAACGTGGAAAAAAGCATACACCTTGGTAAGCACTTGTGGTTGAGGTGGGATTTAGGGAGGCAGTGTGATGGGGAGTGGGGCTGGGCCCACCCTATGGGGATAGTGTGAGGGTAAAGGTATACAACACCAGGGGAGGGGAAATGCCCTGTGTGGCCTTCAGGAGTGTCTTCTACCCTAGTTGACTGAGGACATGTGAAGCTGCCATGTGGCTGGCTCTCTCTGCCTTCGGCCAAGCGTCATGAAAGCAGTCTTTTGGAAATGGCAATGGCACTGTCTCCCGTAGTTGTCATCCTTCAGATCCCCATTGCTACCAGCGTAACTGGTCTGACTGGTCACCCCATGATGCTTTTAATTTTAATTTTCCTAAACTAACGCATGCATATGGTAGCAACTCACCTTGGCTGCAAGGATTTGGGAGGAAAAGCAGTGGTCTTCCGCTGGCCCTTCCTGTTACCAGGCCCACATCCCAGAGGCTGCTTCTTTCCCGTGTTTCTGGCTTTTGTGACTCTGGTGGTCACCATCCTAACTCTAAACATCATGCTTATTCTTCCATTTCTTGATTGTCAACCTCCGGCAGTATCTACTGACTCATTACTATGTAAGACAAGGACTTTGCTTATGTACACAAATGCCCCTTCCAAACTTCTCCTTTCCTGTTTTGAAGGTTACCTTATTCTGCTGTTGGTCACCATTGTGACTTGAAATGATATACACATGCCCCTATTTCTTGTTCATCATCTTTAGTTGAGTATTTCAACTCCCCTTCAGGTGAAATGAAAACATCATTCTTCTGCTTTCCTGTACCTTATTTTCTTGCTTTCGCAATTTTCCTTTGATATTGTTGAGATCCTTAACATTTGCCTTCCAGAACTACAGCCAGACCCTCATGCTTTGCTCATAGGCTGTCTCTAAAAGTTGAAAACTAATAAGTAGCATTTACTTTCTCTCAACTATGTAAATATGTTTCTCTGCCAGGCCAAGTTGAGGCTTGGATTACGGGTTTGGCTTATTTACTTATTTATATTTTGGCTAAAGGTTCAATATCATGACCTACGGGCCCCCATTAAAGGAGAGTTCTGATATCACGGCCAAATGTATTATATTTTTAGATTTTCCATCAGCTCTTAAAAATCATGTCAAATTTTAGTTTGGTTTCCTATTTGGAGCACATACTGATATTCAGTTGATTTCCCCCCTTGTAGATAATTGCTTCTTCTTTTCTTGATGTGCCTTTATACAATCGTTGAGTGTTCCAGACTCTCATCTGCACTGTTAGTGCTTGGAGCCTACCCTTTCCTAGACACCTCTTTCTCAGAGCCCTTTACCCTCCCTCCTCCAGGCTGAATGCCCAGAGATCAGCCCAAGACTTCACTATAATGCTTCACCAGTTGTAACTACTACAGTGTTTCCTTTCTTTCCTTAGGGTGTCCTAATTCTTTTACTGCTATACTGATATATAGTTGATGTACAATAAATGACACATATTTAAATTACATAGTTTGATATGTTTTAACACTTGTTACACCTGCAAAACCATTGCCGTCATGAACATAATGAACATTTCCATCACCCCCAAGAGTTATTTCATGCCCTTCATCATTCCCGCATCCTCACTTCCTGCCCCTCCACACCTATGCACCCAACCCATCCACAGGCAGCCACCAATCTTTCTGTCTCTGTAGATCACTTTAGATATTCGAGACTTTTATCTAAATTGAACAAAACAGCATGCAATCTTTTTTGTCTGATTTCTTTTACCCAAGATAATTACTTTGAGAATCATCCACATTTTTATATACATGAAGAGCTCATTCATTTCTATTACTGAAGAGTATTCAACTGTATGGTTATGCCACAATTTGTTTATCTGTTAACCTGCTAATGGACACTTATTTTCCAGTTTGGGGAGTACATAAATCTGCTATGAATATTCTTGCACAAGTTTAATGCTTCCATTTATCTTGGGTGAATAGCTAGGAATGGAATGGTTGGACATATGGTGAGTGTATGTTAACTACAAACTTTGTAAGAAACTGCCAAACAGTTTTCCAAAGTACTTGTACCATTTTACATTCCCACCAGCAGTTTTTCAAATTGTAGGTGTTCTAACAGAGAGAGCTCATTGCCGTTTTAATTTGCGTTGTTAATGATGCATTATTCTGTGCATCTTTTTGTGTGCATATTTGCCATCTGTATATCTTCTTTGGTGAAGAATCTGTTCAAATCTTTTGCCCATTTAAAAATTGGATTGTTTGCTTTCTTATTATTGAGTTCTGATAATTTTTTTAAAAATTATTTATTGTATTGTGGTAACAACACTTAGCATGAGAACTACCCTTTTAACAAATTTTTAAATGTGCATTATTGGCTCTAAGTGTGATGTTGTACTGCAGATTGTGAGAGCGGATTTATCTTTCTTGACTGCAACTTTATGCTGTTGCCTGGTAACTCCCCATTTTCCCCTCTCTCAGCCTCTGATAACCACCATTCACTCTTTGATTCTGTCAATCTGGCTATTATCAATATCTCATATTTGTCTTTCTGTGACTGACTTATTTAGCTTAGCATAATGTCCTCAAGGTTTATCAATGCTGTTGTGTATTACAGAATTTCCTTCTTTTTTAAAGGTTGAATAGTATTCCACTGTCTGAATATGCCACGTTTTTTATTCCAATCATCTGTTGATAGATTTGTAGATTGTTTTCATATCTTAGCTATTGTGAATAGTGCTGCAATGAACACAGGAGTGTTAGTATCTCTTTGATATCCTGATTTCTTTCTCTCTATTTTTTGAAACAGGGTCTTGTTCTGTCACCCAGGCTGGAGTGCAGTGGCACCATCATGGCTTACTGCAACCTTGACCTCCTGGGCTCCAACAATCCTCTCACCTCAGCCTCCCAAATAGCTGGGACTACAGGCTTCTGCCATCACGCCTGGCTAATTTTTTTGTAGAAATAGGGTCTTGTTATGTTGCCTAGGCTGGTCTCAAACTCCTGGGCTCAAGTGATCCTCCTGCCTTATCCTCCAAAGTGTTGAGAGTACAGGCATGAACCACCATGCCTAGCCCTGATTTTAATACTTCTGGAAACATATCCAGAAGTGGGATTGTTGGCTCACATTATTATTATTACTGTTATTATTATTTGAGACAGGGTCTCACTCTGTTGCCCAGGCAGGAGTGCAGTGGTGAAATCACAGTTCACTGCAGGCTTGAACTCCTGGACTCAAGGGGTCCTCCTGCCTCAGCCTCCCAAGTAGCTAGGACTATAGGCATGTGCCACCACACCCAGCTGATTGCTGGATCATATGGCAGTTCTATATTTAAGTTTTTGAGGAACCTCCATACTATTTTCTACAGTGGATGTACCATTTTGGATTTCTACCAACAGTGTGTAAGGATTCCAATTTCTCTACATCTTCCTTAACATTTACTGTGTTTTATTTTTTTTGGTAATAGCCTTCTTAACAGATGTTAGGTAATATCTCATTATGGTTTTGATTTTTTTTCTGATGATTAGTGGTAAGCAGTTTTTTCATATAGCTGTTGGCCATTTATAAGTCTTCTTTGGAGAAATGTCTATTCAAGTTTTAACCCACTATTTAAATTGAGTTATTAGTTTTTTGTTTTCTTTTTTTTTTTTTTTGAGATGGAGTCTCACTCTGTCACCCAGGCTGGAGTGCAGTGGCGTGATTTCAGCTCACTGCAAGCTCCACCTCCAGGATTCACAGCATTCTCCTGCCTCAGCCTCCCAAGTAGCTGGGACTATAGGCGCCCGCCACCATGCCCGGTTAATTTTTGTATTTTTAGGAGAGACGGGGTTTCACCGTGTTAGCCAGGATGGTCTCAATCTCCTAACCTTGTGATCCACCCGCCTCGGCCTCCCAGAGTGCTGGGATTACAGGCGTTGAGCCACTGCACCCGGCCAGTTTTTTTTTTTTTTTTTTTTAAACTATTGAGTTGTAGAAGTTTCTTATATATTTTGGGTATCAACGCCTTATCAAATATATAGTTTGCTGACTATATATTTATTCTGTAGGTCACTTTTTCATTCTGTTGACTGTTTCCTTTGTGAATTTTGACAGTTCTTTATATATTCTGGATACAAGTTCTTATCAGATATGTGATTTCCAAATATTTTCTCCAAGTCTGTGATTTATATTTTTATTTTCTTAACATTAACAGAAATTCTTAATTTGGACAAAGTCCAATTAATCCATTTTTTTTCCATTTATGGATTGTGTTTTTTTTGGTGTTTTATCTAAGAAATCTTTGTCTAATTGGAAGATCACAAAGATTTTCTATGTGTTTTCCAGTAGTTTTACAGTTTCAGGTTTTCTATTTAGGTCTATGATCCATGTTGTATTAATTTACGTAGATGGTGTGAGATACTAATTGAAATTCTTGTTTTTATTTTTGGTAAATAGATATCCAAATGTTCTAGCACAATTTGTTGAAAGGTTATCTTTTCTCTGATGAATTATCTCTGATCTTTGTCAAAAATCAATTGATGATAATGTATGAATGAATATATTTCTGGATCCTCTATTCTGTTCCATTAATCTGTTTATTTCTCCATTTATTTAGGTTTTCTTTGAATTCTCTCAGTAATGTTTTATAATTTTCAGTGTACTGATCTTATACATGTTTGTCATATTTATCTCTAATTATTTCACATGTTTTGATACTATTGTTAAATGATATGGCTTTTGAAACTTAAGTTTCATAATGTTTATTGCTAGTATACAGAAATATGATTGATTGTTATATGGTGATTCTACATCCTGCAATCTTGTTAAATTCCCTTATTAGTTTAAGTAGTTTTTTGTAGATTTCATTGTATTTTCTTGATAGACAATCATTTTTTTTTTTTTTGTAAATAAAGATGGGTTTATATCTTCTTTTCAAATCTGGCTGCCTTTTATTTATTTTTCTTGTCTTGTTACATTGGCTACACTTATAATCCTGAATAGAATTAGTGAGAGCAGACTTCCTTGCCTTACTCTTGATCTTAGGAGGAAGGCATTCAGTCATTTACCATTCAGTTTGATGTTGGCTCTAGGTTTTAAATAGATGACCATTATTTGGTTGAGAAAGTTCCCTTCTATCCCGCACTTGCTGATAGTGTTCATCAGGAATGGATGTTAGATAATTTTTCTGTTACTATTGAGATGTTTTTCCTTTTTAGAGTGTTACATGTAAACTACAGTGAGTTTCTAAAGTTAAATTAATCTTGTATTCCTGATTCAAGCCCCTATTTGGTTAGGATACACTATCCATTTTATAAAGCAATTAACTTGATTTATTAAAATTTTGTTAAAAATATTTTCATCTATGTTCATGAAGGATATTGATCTTTTCTTTTTTTTCCTGTAATGTCTCTGTCTGGCTTTGGTATCAGAGTAACACTAGCCTCTAGAATGATTTGGGAATTAGTCTCTTCTCTTCCATCTTCTGGAAGAGTTTCTGTAGATTTTGTATTATTCCTTCCTTAAATATTTGGCAGAATTCCATAGTGAAGGCATCTGGGCCTGGAGGTTTCTTTGTGGGAAAGTTTTCAACCAAAAATTCAATTTCTTTAACAGATATAAAGCTACTTTGCCGAGCGCGGTGGCTCACGCCTGTAATCCCAGCACTTTGGGAGGCCGAGGCGGGCGGATCACGAGGTCAGGAGATCAAGACCATCCTGGCCAACATGGTGAAACCCCGTCTCTACTAAAAATACAGAAAATTAGCCAGGCGAGGTGGTGGACACCTGTAGTCCCAGCTGCTCGGGAGGCTGAGGCAGGAGGATGGTGTGAACCTGGGAGGCGGTGCTTGCCGAGATTACATCACAGTACTCCAGCCTGGGGGACAGAGTGAGACTCATCTCAAAAAAGAAAAAAAAAAAGTTATTTTGGCTATTTATCTCCTCTTAAATAAGATTTTACAGTTTGTACCTTTAAATGAATTTGCACATTTAACTTAAGTCATCAAATTTACTGGCATCAAGTTTTTAATAATATTAACTTCTTATCTTTTTAAAATCTGTAGAATATGTAGTGATGTCACCTTTCTCATTCCTGACATTGGTAATTTGTGCCTTTTGTCTTTTTTCCTGATCAGTCAGGTTACAGGTTTATCAATTTTATTGATCTTCTCAAAGAACCAGTTTTTCTCTATTGTTTTTCTGCTTTCTATTTCATTTTTCTTTTGAGATGGAGTCTTGCTCTGTTGCCCAGGCTGGAGTGCAGTGGCGTGATCTCAACTCACTGCAACTTCCTCCTCCTGGGTTCAAGCAATTCTCCTGCCTCAGCCTCCTGAGTAGCTGGGATTAGAGGCAGGGGCTACCACGTTTGGCTAATTTCTTTGTACTTTTAGTAGAGACAGGGTTTCGCCATGTTGGCCCGGCTGGTCTCAAACTCCTGACCTCAAGTGATCTGCTGGCTTGGCCTCCTAAAGTGTTGGGATTATAGGCATGAGTCACTGTGCCCGGCCTATTTCATTAATTGTCAATTTGACCTTTATTATTTCTTTTTTCTGCTTAGTTTGGTTTCATCTGCCCTCCTTTTTCTAGTTTCTTAAAGGGGTAGCTTAGGACATTAACTTGAAACTTTTCTTCTTTTCTAACGTAGGTGTGTAGTGCTATAAATTTCCCACAGATTTTTTGTTTGTTTTCATTTTCATTCACTTAAAAATACTTTCTAATTTCTTTTTTAATTTCTTCTTTGGCCTATATTTACATATTATAGATATTTAGAAAAGATCATAAAATTATTTTCATTAAAAATGAAGGAATTGCTAAAAGATGGAATCATTGATATTCTCCAAAAAACAAAGGCTGGCAAACAATTTTAAAGGTCAGATATTGTTTAACACTTGAAATTCCAAAGGGAAAAAATATTCCCAAAGAATGCTCTTTTTCCTATAGAGTAATTGCTGAAATAAAGGAACACAGAAAACAAGGCTTCTGCCAGTTGCCACTTACAAAAATATACAGAGGATCATAATCCAGAGACGTGGCTAAGGCCTCAGGTGGTTTCATGCTCAAGATTGATGTCTTGCCAGAGAGCTGAGTTGTGGAGTCTTGTTTCGGAAGGGGTACGATGGTGGTGACTTCATCCTAATAAGGACCAAGGGCAGCACGTTAGTTTTGATGCCAGGATAGGAGGGTAAAGATGAGAGAGATTCTGGAAGGTGGGGGTGTGTTACCTCAGCTCCTTGCTTTAGGGCTCGGGCAAGCTTTTGAGGTCTGTAACTTGTTGAAGACTTGTGGACAGAGAATGGCTGATATCTCTTAATTTTGTACAGTTGAGGAACCTGAAGGTGAAAGAAGACTGAAAATCCTTAAAAACCTGTTACCATTTGCTGGGATTTACTTCTCAACAACACCCTTTCTGAGCTTCCTGGTGGTAAAAGTAAGACAAGAACCACGTTGCAGTCATCGGATTGTGGCTATTGTTAGTTTGGACCAGTCTGGACAGACTTTAGTGAAAGTCCTGAGCCCTTCTCTGGGTTTCGGCACACATGAGTGTTCATGATTACTCAACCATACTACATGGCTTAAGTGTAGAAGGACACCAAAATATTTTCATTTTCAAAAACAGAAGTGGTCATGTGTCTCAAGAAAGGCTGACTAATTTTTTCTCACTTATCTTGTATTTTTTCTTGAAGTTTCTAATATATATAGTTCAGATAGCTTCGTATATGCATGATATAGGTATATCCACAGAGTAGAAATCCTGGTTTGCATAAGCCACACTATGAGAAAAGAATCTGGTGTACCTCCCGTATGTCATCCAATAGCAGCAGAGTGTGCCACACACTGTAATCTGCCATAAAGCAAAACTATATAAAACACTGCAATTCAAATTCAAGAATATCTTGTTTACTTAATAAGAAACTCAATTAATTAATTCTATGTGACAGGTCTGACCTGCAGATTGAAGAAGGAATAACTCTGCTTGATTTGAACTTCTGAAGACTTAATTGGGACCAGTCCAAGGCCATCAGGAGCCTAAAATGTAAAGGGAAAAAAAAAAAAGAACAGAGAATCACCACTGAGCAAGAGTGGCTATGCTTCTGTTTCCATTATATTTTGAAACATTAATGACCAGTTCTACTCTCAGAGCAACTACGCCTGCAACCACAGTTGCCACTTGATCTATAGGGCAGGAAGGCAGCCCTGATCACCCCTTCCTCCATGTCTCCTAGTGGATGTGAGTCTCTTTTATTTTCTGCGGTTGTGGAGGCTGCAATGTGTCACTCAGAAACTTCTTCAGGTTTGAAGGACTCAGCCCCCAGCTGCCAGGAGTGTAGGGATAGAAACATCTCTTGGGGGCAGGGGAGCCCTCTTCAGGGGCTGCCTCATCTGAAGGGCACTGCCTCCGTCAGGGTCAAGCGCTCCTCCCAGGCAGCTCACCTCCATGGCGGGTTGAAGCCATGGGAAACATGCTGCGTCCTCTCACCCTGTGCCAGCCTCAGAGTTCTCACAGGCCCACCTAAGGCCTTTGTTGAGGTGGACCCCGGTCCTACTTCTCTCTCCACCCAATCCTGTCCCCTCTGCCTGCCTTCCACAGGTGCGAACCCCTGAAGCACTACCTAATACACTTCCTGCATGCTAGTCTGTCTCAGACACCCCGAGGATCTGGACGGTGCCTGAATATGACTGGCACTCAAAAAACAGCATACATCTCCTAATCTAATACGCCATCACTAAACTAATATGATGAAATGTTAATATGCCACAATGATACCATTTCCCAATTTCTAGATGCTAAATGTAAGAAAAAGGCATCTTAGAATTGATGAAATATAGTATTTATGAAATAAATTAATAGTTTTTTTTTTTTATAGACAGGAATGCTGAGCGCTCTATTTTTCAACAACGCTGAGCAGCAGGGAAGTCTTTGTAGCACTAAAAGATCAAATGAAACATGTCAGTTTCAAACTATTCAAAAATAATGAGGGGGGCTCCACTGCACAGTGACGATCTCTTTCCACCCCATCAACCTCTTCACCCCATTAATTATCGAGTGTCAGACATTTATTGTTGCTTGAAAATCACAGGATTTTTATCTCTTAGGAACTAATTATTCTGCTCTTTTAAGTCATACAATTATCAAAAGCAGAAAACGTATGGAATTTCTAAGTTCAGTCCCGTAATTCTTGAGTAGATTACCTGCAATGCTTAACGAATATTTTAGCATGTGAATGATGTTTATTCTTTGAAATTAACAAAATATTTTGCACATGCACTTGCAATATTGATTTAAGTATACTTTTTATTACTAACGACGTGAACGCGAGCAACATTTTATTACTGGCTATGTGAATGTGTGCTTCAGTTTCCTCATTTGAAAAATGGTAAACCTATCATGTAGATTTGTTGAAGATTAAATGAGGTGATATACTGGAAGGACTTAAGACACTGCCTGAAGTATAGTAAATACAACATAAGGGTTAACTCTTACTTTTCTAATAATGCACCATTGTGCCCATAAGGGAAGAAGGATGAGCCATTACACCTCCTGCTACCCCAAGAGAGAAAGATACACACACACACACACACAAATGCACACGCACACTCTAGAGAGAGAGAGAGAGAGAAGTGGATTGTGAGTCTGATGGGTTAGATTGTCAGTTTCTGGGACCACATTCCCTTCTTATGAGGTCAGGCCCAGACTTGAGGGCTACCCTTCCCTGGCTTCTACAATTTGCCCAGGCAGCAGAAGGGCCCGGCTGAGCAGAGCCTGCCTCCCTGGGCCAGGTGGGGCCCTCTGGGTTCCTCTCTCTACCCTTCTGCACTCAGGCCCAGTTCTAGGACAGTTGGGCAGGGGTCAGTGCTCATGCTGCATTTCAGGCTGGGAAGGACCAGCCCAGGTTACCAGGGAGCTCTCTGCAGGTGTATCAGGAGCAAGGCAGATGGCAGGAGATGATCCCTGGTTTTCCACTGGTAATACTCTCCTGGTCTTCCTTTGGAGCCTCTGGGAGGAGGTGAAGGGACTAAGACGGAAGGGCTTGCCTTGTATCTGCCCCGCACGATCATGATCATGTCCAGTCCCCGCCACCAAGTCTGACAGCACCTACCAACTCGTTAGAGTCCTGGGACGAGCTGCAGTCTGGGAAAGCGAAGGGCAGCACCTCATTGGGCGACACAGAGAATCGGCTGGTATAATCATCCTGACTGCTCCGCTTCAGGAAGAATTTGAAGAAATTTGCCTCTATGAGTGATAAAAAACAGCACTTTTAGGGGGTACTAAAGGTATTTTCATGGGAAACCACCACATATATTTGCATATTTTCCATATACCAATGAGTGGGTGTGTGCGTGTTTATATATATATATATATATATATATATATATATATATATATATTTCCACTTTTAGTGTCCCATTGGTTCCTTACCTCAACCTCCTTTCCGGTTAAAAAATTTTCTCTTTATTTCCAGAAAATTATAATTCATAATTAAAATATCTCTGATGAATTAAGGAAAGAAAAAGATTAAAGAAGTAAATGAAGACATTTTCTATACATCCCCACAGAATTCACAAGTAAATTTTATAATTTTTCAGAAAAAAGAGTTTCTTTATTAATAAACTTCAACACCAGAGATAAAAAATAATATAGGAGGAAGAAAGAGAATCATTAAAATGTTATACAATGTTTTGAAAAACAAAATACACATTTGGGTCTCAGTGGAGTGGCAGATGGGAGTGTGGTTGTGCCTAGGGAGGACGGGGAAGCCTGAGCCAGGCTCAGAGGCTCAGGCCGGGAAGGGAGGAAGAGTCTGGAAAGATCCGGGCCTGCTTGTGGGCTGGCATACAAACTGGATTGGGAATATATGTATTGGGAGAATATGGTGATATGGTGTTAGGGCTCCCAGAAGCTACTGAGAGTGGGCCTCCAACAGTCCCAGCCAAGCTGGGCATCAGAGGATTGGAATTTCTTTCTTTTTTTGTTTTTTTTTAGAGACAGGGTCCTGCTCTATCACCTGGGCTTGAGTGCAGTGGTGCGATCACAGCTTACCATAACCTTGACCTCCTGGGCTTAGCTTATCCTCCCACCTCAGCTTCCTGAGTAGCTGGGACTACAGGCATATGCCACCAGTCCTGGATAATTTTTAATTATCCAGGGGTCTCAGTATGTTGCCCAGGCTTGTCTTGAACTCCTGGGCTCAAGTGATCCTCCCACCTTGGACTCTCAAAGAGTTGGGATTACAGGCATGAGCTACAGTGGCCACGGTGGCCAGGATGGAAATTTCCTTAACTTAAGGAAAGACAATACAAGATTAAAAGGCTTAATGTGCAAATGGTAGGTTGAGAAAATACCAAATTCAGCCAGTCAGTCAGCAAGTATAAATGATGACCACCCTAGTCTCTGGAGACAAGAGGAAGCAGAGGGCACAAAACAGGAGGTCGAGCCACAGCCACACTTCACAGACATTACAACTTGGTTTGGGATTGGGTGACCTTGTTCATTACCAAGTGGGTAGGAATTTCAGCCAAACCTGGCATGGAGATCCACTTTATATCATGAGATAGGCTGAATAATGGCACTTAGAGGTGTCCACATCCTATTCCCAGGGGCCTGTGAATGTGTTATCTTCCATGATAAAAGGCACTCTGCAGATGGGGCTCTGTGACGGGGGATTATTCTGCACTAGACAGGTAGGCCTTATGTAATCAGAGTCTCCATAGGAAGGAAACGGGGGAGTCAGACTCACACAAGGAGATGTGAGGACAGAAGCAAGAGGTTAGGGTCATGTGGGGAAGGGGCCATGAGCCAAGGAATACAGGTGGACTCCAGGAGCTGGAAAAGGCAAGGACTTGCAAGCCCCCGGGGGGACTGCAGCCCTATCAACACCTTGGTTTTAGACTTCTAACCTCCAGAACTGTGAGATGATAAATTTGCCTTGTTTTAAGGCTTTAAGTTTAAAAGGCTTAATGTGTAAGTGCTGGGTTGAGAAAATACCAGATTCAGCCAGTCAGTCAGCAAGTATAAATGATGACTACCCTAGTCTCTGGTGACAAGAGGAAGCAGAGGGCACAAGCGATTCGTTACAGCAGGGATAGGAAACTAATATGTGTGACTGGTGAAAATTTTTTATTTGCATAGGGCTAACTTCATTCCAAGGAAAGTTCACGCTCAGAGGCATGATCAGTCTTGGCATCTCTGTGCTTTGCAGCCATACTTCACCTTGTGCCATCGATTGTTTTGCTTGGCCGATCTTTCTCAGTACACTCTCTTTGTCCATTTCACGAACAGCACTCAGCATATTGAATAATCGTCCCTGAATCATGACCTGAAATTGGAGTGGATCATGATTTCAAATTATTAATCAACATATGCTCATTTTGGCATTCAACCTAATTCACTTTCCCCAATCACACTAAGGGCTGAGACTGCCACTGTAAGTCAGAGTTCACAGGGAGTGAGTGTGGCATGTTACTCTCCCTAGACTGCAGTCACAGAGACTTCAAAGTCTGGGCAATACTGAATTGCCTGAATACAAAAAAGACCAAGTTGTCATCTGGACTTGTCTCACCCAATTTATGAGCCTTGATTTTCTCATATTTCCAGTGTGGAAAGAATGACTAGTTCTTTGTTGTTTCTTCTGGATATATCTGAATAGTAACGCTACCACTGTGCTATTTTCAGAGTTGAAGGACAAATGGCACAGGTGATTCTGCAGCAATAGCACTGTAGGTGACGGGCAATGGTAACTGCATACCAATGAGCTTTGCCTTCAGAGCAGATGCTACTTCAGGTGAGTGGTACCTGAGCCCAGAGCTGTGGCTGAGGGGATTGTTCATTCTATAATTTACACCACTTTCCATTCTGTAAGCAGCTCTTTTTATTGTTGTTTTTTTAAAAAATATATACTGTAAGTTCTGGGATACATGTGCAGAACATGCAGGTTTGTTACATAAATATACATGGCCATGGTAGTTTGCTACACCCATCAACCCACCATCTATACTAGGTATTTCTCCTAATGATATCCTGCCCCTAGTCCCCCACCCTCCAACAGGTCCTGGTGTGTGATATTCCCCCTCCCTGTGTCCATGTGTTCTCATTGTTCAACTCCCACTTATGAGGGAGAACATGTGGTGTTCAGTTTTCTGTTCTTGTGATAGTTTGCTGAGAATGATGTCTTCCAGCTTCATCCATGTCCCTGCAAAGGACATGAACTCATCCTTTTTTATGACTGCAAAGTATTCCATGGTATATATGTGCCACATTTTCTTTATCCAGTCTGTCACTGATGGACATTTGGGTTGGTTCCAAGTCATTGCTATTGTGAACAGTGCTTCAATAAACTTACATGTGCATGTGTCTTTATAGTAGAATGATTTATAATCCTTTGGGTATATACCCAGTAATGGGATTGCTGAGTCAAATGGTATTTCTGGTTCTAGATCCCTGTCTTCCACAATGGTTGAACTAATTTACACTCCCACCAGCAGTGTAAAAGGATTTCTATTTCTCCACATCCCCTCCAGCATCTGTTGTTTCCTGACTTTTTAATGACCACCATTCTAACTGGCGAGAGATGGTATCTCACTGTGGTTTTGATTTGCATTTCCCTAATGACCACTGATGATGAGCTGTTTCTCATGTTTGTTGGCCACATAAATGTCTTCTTTTGAGAAGTGTCCGTTCATACACTTCACCCATTTTTTGATGGAGTTGTTTGTTTTGTTCTTATAAATTTGTTTGAGTTCCTTGTAGATTCTGGATATTAACCTTTTGTGAGATGGATAGATTGCAAAAATCTTCTCCCATTCTGTAGGTTGTCTGTTCACTCCGATGATAGCTTCTTTTGCTGTGCAGAAGCTCTTTAGTTTAATTAGATCCCATTTGTCAATTTTGTCTTTTGTTGCCATTGCTTTTGGTGTTTTAGTCATGAAGTCTTTGCCCATGCCTAGGTCCTGAATGGTACTGCCTAGGTTTTCTTCTAGGGTTTTTGTGGTTCTAGGTCTTATGTTTAAGTCTTTAATCCATCTTGAATTAATTTTTGTATAAGGTGTTAAGGAAGGGGTCCAGTTTCAGTTTTCTGCATATGGCTAGCCAGTTTTCCCAACATCATTTATTAAACAGAGAATCCTTTCCCCATTGCTTGTTTTTGTCAGGTTTGTCAAAGATCAGATGGTGGTAGATGTGTGGCATAATTTCCGAGGACTCTGTTCTGTTCCATTGGTTTATATATGTGTTTTGGTACCATGCTATTTTGGTTACTGTAGCCTTGTAGTATAGTTTGAAGTCAGGTAGTGTGATGCCTCCAGCTTTGTTCTTTTTGCTTAGGATTGTATTGGCTATACGGGCTCTTTTTTGGTTCCGTATGAAATTTAAAGTAGTTTTTTTCTAATTCTGGGAAGAAAGTCAATGGTAGCTTGATGGAAATAACACTGAATCTATAAATTACTTTGGGCAGTATGGCCATTTTCACAATATTGACTTTTCCTATCCATGAGCATGGAATGTTTTTCCATTTGTTTGTGTCCTCTCTTATTTCCTTGAACAGTGGTTTGTAGTTCTCCTTGAAGAGGTCCTTCACATCCCTTGTAAGTCATATTCCTAGGTATTTTATTCTCTTTGTAGCAATTGTGAATGGGAGTTCACTCGTGATTTGGTTCTGTGTTTGTCTATTATTGGTGTATAGGAATGCTTGTGATTTTTGCACATTGATTTTGTATCCTGAGACTTTGCTGAAGTTGCTTATCAGCTTAAGGAGATTTGGGGCTGAGACAATGGGGTTTTCTAAATATAAAATCATGTCATCTGCAAAGAGACAATTTGACTTCCTCTCTTCCTATTTGAATACCCTTTACTTCTTTCTCTTGCATGATTGCCCTGGCCAGAACTTCCAATGCTATGTTGAATAGGAGTGGTGAGAGAGGGCATCCTTCTCTTGTGCCAGTTTTCAAAGAGAATGCTTCCAGGTTTTGCCCGTTCCGTATGATATTGGCTGTGGGTTTGTGTTGGGAGCAAGTCCCCCAAAATCTGGCCATAAACTGGCCCCAAAACTGGCCATAAACAAAATCTCTGCGGCACTGTGACATGTTCATAATGGCCCTAATGCCCAAGCTTGAAGGTTGTGGTTTTACGGGAATGAGGGCAAGGAACACCTGGCCTGCCCAGAGTGGAAAACCGCTTAAAGGCATTCTTAAGCCACAAACAACAGCATGAGCGATTTATGCCTTAAGGGCATGTTCCTGCTGCAGTTAACTAGCCCAACCTATTCCTTTAATTTGGCCCATCCCTTCATTTCCCATAAGGGATACTTTTAGTTAATTTAATATCTATAGAGACAATGCTAATGACTGGTTTGCTGTTAATAAATATGTGGGTAAATCTCTGTTCGGGGCTTTCAGCTCTGAAGGCTGTGAGACCACTGATTTCCCACTTCACACCTCTATATATCTGTGTGTGTGTCTTTAATTCCTCTAGTGCCACTGGGTTAGAGCCTCCCTGATTGAGCTGGTCTTGGCAGGTTTGTTACAAATAGCTCTTATTATTTTGAGATATGTTCCATCAATATCTAGTTTATTGAGAGTTTTTAGCATGAAGGGGTGCTGAATTTTATCAAAGGCCTTTTCTGCATCTATTAAGATAATCATGTGGTTTTTGTCATTGGTTCTGTTTATGTGATGGATTATGTTTATTGACTTGTGTATGTTGAACCAGCCCTGCATCCCAGGGATGAAGTAGACTTGATCGTGATGGATAACCTTTTTGATGTGCTCCTGGATTTGGCTTGCCAGTATTTTATTGAGAATTTTTGCATCAATATTCATTAGGGATATTGGCCTGAAATTTTCTTTTTTTGTTGTGTCTCTGTCAGGTTTTGGGTATCAGGATGATGCTGTCCTTATAAAATGAGCTAGGGAGGACTCCTTCTTTTTCTATGATTTGGAATACCTTCAGAAGGAATGGTACCAGCTCCACTGTGTAACTCTGGTAGAGTGTGGCTGTGAATCTGTCTGGTCCTGGGCTTTTTTTGGTTGGTAGGCTATTACTGTCTCGATTTCAGAACTTGTTATTGGTCTATTCAGGTATTCGGCTTCTTCCAGATTTAGTCTTGGGAGGGTGTATGTGTCCAGGAATTTATCCATTTCTTCTAGATTTTCTAGTTTATTTGAATAGGGTTGTTTATAGTATTTTCTGATGGTAGTTTGTATTTCTGTGGGATCAGTGGTAATATCTCCCTTTTTTATTGTGTCTATTTGATTCTTCTCTCTTTTCTTCTTTATTACTTTGGCTAGCAGTCTATCTATTTTGTTAACCTTTTCAAAAAACCAGCTCCTGGATTCATTGATTTTTTGAAGGGTTTTTTTGTTTCTCTATCTCCTTCAGTTCTGCTCTGATCTTAGTTATTTATTTGTCTTCTGCTAGCTTCTCTAGTTCTTTTAATTGTGACGTTAGGGTGTCGATTTCAGTTTTTTCCTGCTTTCTCCTGTGGTCATTTAGTGCTATAAATTTCCCTCTAAACACCACTTCAGTTGTGTCCCAGAGATTTTGGTATGTTGTGTCTTTTTTCTCTTTGGTTTCAAATAATTTATTTATTTCTGCCTTAATTTCGTTATTTACCTAGTAGTCATTCAGGAGCAGGTTGTTCAGTTTCCACGTAGTTGTGCGGTTTTGAGTGAGTTTCTTAATTCTGAGTTCTAATTTGATTGCACTGTGGTCTGAGAGACTATCATGATTTCCACTCTTTTGCATTTGCTGAGGAGTGTTTTACTCCCAATTATGTGGCCAATTTTAGAATAAGTGTGATGTAGTGCTGAGAAGAATGTGTATTCTGTTGATTTGGGGTGGAGAGTTCTGTAGACGTTTATTAGGTCCACTTGGTCCAGAGCTGAGGTCAAGTCCTGAATATCCTTGTTAATTTTCTGTCCCGTTGATCTTTCTAACATTGAAAGTGGGGTGTTAAAGTCTCCCACTATTATTGTGTGGGAGTCTGAATCACTTTGTAGGTCTCTGAGAATATGAATCTGGGTGCTCCTGTATTGAGTGCATATATATTTAAGACAGTTAACTCTTCTTGTTGTGTTGATCGCTTTACCATGCCCTTCTTTGTCTTTTTTGATCTTTGTTGGTTTAAAGTCTGTTTTATCAGAGCCTAGGATTGCAACCCTTGCTTTTTTTTTATTTATTTATTTATTTATTTTTTTTATGACAGAGTTTCACTCTTCTTGCCCAGGCTGGAGTGTGATGGCATGATCTTGGCTCACCACAATCTCTGCCTCCCAGGTTCAAGCGATTTTCTTGCCTCAGCCTCCTGAGTAGCTGGGATTACAG